CCCCCCCCCCCTCCCCCCCGCGCTCGCTGCCCGGTCCCTGCGCGCACACACACACACAAGCACTTGCATGGTTTTGTTCGCTGTCCCCTCGCATTTTTGCAATAATGTTTCTGTTTCTACCTCATCAGCTAAATTAAAAAAAAAAAAAAAAAAATCAAAAAAAAATGAGAAAAAAAAAAAAAGGAATGAAAAAAAATTTTTTTTTGGCATTTCCAGGGAAGTCACGATTTATTCGGGGGGAGGGGAGGAAAAAAAAAGAAAGAAAGAGGAAATTTATTTTGCTTTGGTTTTTGCCCGTATGATTTCACTGTAACGTATCCTACGCTTCGACAATCAAACCAGTGGGGCTCCCGGGGGCGGCCCGGGGCAGCGGTGCGCGGCGTCCCCGACAGAACCGAACTCTGCACTTTCTAAGGCAAGATTACTCCTTTCTTTTTTTTCTTTGCATATTTAATAGAGAAATTTGCCTCCGAATCCTATGTTGTTGGTGGGTTTTTTTGTTTTTTTTTTTTTTTTCTCTTTTTTTTAATAACTTCTGATTATTATTATTTAAACGAGATTTCGTTTCGCTGTGTGTGTGCTGAATGAAATTTGGTGTCTGTGTACGCTGCAGCATTTCAAATAAACCATGCACGTTTTACCTCACCCCCCCCTCCTGCCTCCTACACTTACTGCACCCGGGGGCGACGCCGGCTCCGCCGCGGGACCCCACCTCATCGCTCCGTCCTTCCTCCTCCGGGCCGGGGAGCAACGAAATAAGGCGAAAAGCATCGAAAATAGGGCTAAACCGCGTTCAGAGCCCGGGGCTGATTTTCTCCCACGCAAACCGTACGTGCAGCGAAGCCCCACGCGTGGATTTGGGGACGGAGCAGGGCACGATAACCGGCCGCGGTGCCGCTGAGACGGCGGAGTAACTCCGCTCGCATCGAAACCGCACTGAAAAACGCAGTGGAGCTGTGCCGCCGCCAGGCTGGGGGGCCGAGAGGAGCTGTCAGCGGGTGGGGGGCACGGCACGCACCGAGGGGGTGACGGGTCCTCGTGCTTTTGTTTTGTAACTTTTTATTTTCCGAGAGAAACAAAAGAGAACGCACCGCGCGCATCTCGAGGCGGTGCTGCATCCCCAGCAGCCGGGCTCGGGGAGGGGAGGGAGTGGGGGGGGGGGGGGGAAGGGGCGACGACAAGTGGCAGCACGGCTCCGTAACCCGCAAAAAAGATGGGAAAAACATCCGAAGAAGCCGCTCGGGGAACGCTGGATGAGGAGACGCTTCCCGGAGTGAGCACCGCACTTTTCAGCCCCCACTGGCCCGCACGGGTTTCACAAACCTCATCCCCTCCTTTGTTTTTTTCCTCCGTTCTGATTTTTTCTTTCCTTCCTTCTTTCTTCTCTTTCTTTCTTTTCTTTTTTCTTTTTTTTTTTTTTTTTCTCCATGAAGCGAAAAGCGCATTTTCATAAATAGACCTTGGCCAAGTGCTGGCAATGAAATTTTAATGAAGACTGGATGCTGAGTGCTGCCCGGGGGGGCCTTGGAGAATCAGCTCCGTGCAGCATTAGCAGCGCCCCATCCACATCCCTCCCTCTGCTCCCTCGCAGCCATAACACGCTCCGATCTGCTCCCGTCTTACAGCCTCTTCAATGGCCCTCCACCCCAAGACTGGGATGCCCAGGTGCAAAGCCAGAATCTCCAGCCTCAAAACAGCGCTGTGGGGCTGTGATCACTGCCCCAAGCTCACAGGCATTGCTCTGTCCCCTCCTCAAAGTTTGCAAGCAATGCAATTTTCCTCACCTGCAATCCTAAACTGGGTATTTCACTGATGTGAATGCATGTGAGGTGAGAGGAACCTGTCCACTGTGGGGTGTTGTGAGTGGGTTGGCACTTAGGAGCTCAATGTAGGAACAGCAGAGTAGATTCCCAAACCTTCTAACACAGTCTCTCTGCAGTGCACTCAGTGTAGGGAGAGTTTAGGGGAAAGTTCAGAGCAGGGAAAGGAGGCAGAGCTGTGCAAGAAGGAGCAGGATTGCACACACAGGTAGAACAATACATGCACACTAACTGTTCCTGGAGTGGAAAGGAAGCTCCTGAACTGTGACCCTAAAGCCAAAATAGCATTGAATGAAAGGAGTATTGATTGGGCTGGACATACGTCTTTCTCTCTCTTATTTACTTTTTTCTTCATGTGGGGTTTAACATACTGTGGCTTTGGCAGGCTGTACATCTCTAGGAGTGCATTCTCACCCACCGCTGCTGCTGGCACTGAGGTCAGAGAAATGGTGAAGGAGATGGAGACCTGGTCCCTAGTTTACCACCAATGGTAGGGGATGGATGGGGATGGGGTGAGGCAGCTGGAACACAGCTCTCCCTTGGGGCTCAGAAACATCGTACGCAGCTCACACCGAGCCAGGGATAGGACTGGGGCACTGATACAGATGGGGCTTCAAAGCAGAGGTGCACAGCTGAGTGTGCATTGTCCACTGAGAGGAACTAAGATGTCCACGTAGCAGTCCATCTCTGTATGACTGCGAATGGTACTCTACAGACAGCACTGTACTCACAGTAGAGATGATGGATGACCGAGTCACATGGAGACATCTCCAAATGGGGACAAGGCTGCAAAGGCTTCCTGAGGAAAGATTCCCATAGGTTCATGGCTGCTAAAGCTCTCAGACATTGGCTGCTGGAGCTCTGCCCAGTGAGCCCTGGGAGATGGATCATTTTGCTATACTTTCATGCTGTTGAGCTCCATGACACGTTCACTGTTGCATTTTCTGCCATAAAAGTCAAATCCCACAGAAAATTTAGGCACCAAACTCCCCCGTGCATACTGAACTGAGCCTGCTAACTCTAGGCAAATGCCAATGTGGTTGAAGACATGTGAGGGAAGCACTGTTCCTCATTTGTTCTTAGAGCAGAGCAATTTGGTGCAGGGTTGCACCACAGCACACTGCCAAGGTGCTGGCTGTCCCTCTGGGAAGGGAACTGGGGCAAGGCAAGTTGCTGAGTGCCATCTCTCCATCCCTAAGCTATGTGGTTGGACCCACACAGACCTGTAAAGGACATGGGGGATAAGCAAGGTGACCACCAACACCGTCAACCTCCTCGTTCAAATATTGCCAGCACGTCATAGCTTTGCACTCAGCTTTGGGTCTGGAGGAGAGAAAATGCTCCGTGTTCTTTAAAAGATTTCTGCCTTTGAAAGCCATACAGGTAAAGGATGCCCCTGCTGACGGACTCTCTTCTATTATTCTATGTGTTTTAGTGCAGAGCAGAGCAGATGTATTTTTAAAGAGGCTGGTGCTTGAAGTAGGCTCTGTTCCACTACAGGGGGAAAAAGGAGTAAAGCAGTAATTACAGGCTTCATAGGGGCCCAAGCAAGCAGGAGGACAGCCAGGCTGGAACCCAGGAAGATTAGCAATTAGCTGCCTTTGGAAAGATTTGGGGAATTGGTGCAGGGCAGTGCAGGTATGAGGGACAAACCCCATTCCCAGTCCAGATGTTTCCACGAGACATTCAAACCTGAGCTTTTGTCCACTTGAGTCCCTGTTCATTGCAGAAATTGGGCCCTTTTCCACCTTTCAGCTCAGAAAATGGGAGCTCTGGGGAGCAGCAAACAGTGGGGAGACCCAGCCTTGAGGCATCTCCTGGGCTGCCTTTCCAATAACCAAATTCTGAATTTCCTCCTCTTCCTGGGTACTTGTGGGTGCTCAGTCTCTCTACAGCCACAAGCAGCTCTAACATTAAACTCTAGCAAGACCAGAGCCATAACATGTTCAAAAACACAGCAACACAGCTCTGTGCTTTACACACTCATTCTTTCAAAAATAAATGTACAGTTTTTTTTGTTTTTTTTTAATAATGTTGAATAAAACCCTCCAGAAATTTAATATGATGCTTTTTACCCAATGCAAACACTACAGTCTTGGTCTCACACCACAGAGAAGAATAGTGCTCTGCTTACCAACTGCTCTACTGAAGCCCTGCAGGATGAGTCCCAAGGTTAGAGTCTGCTCACATCCCCTTATTTTCAGCCATAATCTCTCAGGAAGGGCTGTAGGATCCAACTTCGTGTCCCTTTGCGGGTCAGAGACCAGTGAGCTCACACAGGACTGCAGAAGCAGTGGGATCCTGGAGATGGAGAAATCAGAGCTGAAATCGGTATTTCACCGGCAGCACCTCACCCAGTTTCCAGCAGCCCGAGGTAAATGAGTGCTTTCTGAGAAATATGAAAATGTCAACTAAGAGCCATGTTTTATTTATACCAGGCAAGGCAGGATTTAGTTTTACAGGAGAAAAAGCAAAGCATTCGTATTTGTACAAAGCCTCGCTTAACCATTCTGTGACAGCCCAAGTGCACATGAATCAGAGTTTGCTTTGCAGAGCGTGTTCTCAGCAATGCAGCAGCACCTGTCTGAACCCTCTTAGCAGAACCTCCGTCTCATTCATC